TGGCTATCCACTTTGGAAGACCACCCAGCATTTAGAAACATCAAACCAGGGGTACATTCAGCAACACGGACAGATTTTACAAACATAGTGTTGAATGAAAATGAAAGAAACAGAACAAGTTCTACAGCACATTTTATGAAAATTAAAAGCACATACACAGGCAGAAGGTATATTAGCGGTTGCTAGAGTCTGCAGCAGGGAATGGGAATGAGCATTAGAAGGTATAGGGTTTCTTTTGGGGGTGATGAAAATATTCTGGAATTAGTGATGATGGTTATACAACTTTATGAATACACTAAAAACCACTGAATCGTATAGTTTAAAAGGGTCAATTTTATCGTATGTGAATCATATCTCAATAAAAGAAAACACAGACACAAACCAATACTATATATTTTACAAGGATACATACATGTTTAAGGACATATCAAAATACGGCAGTGGCTGTCTGAAGGGGTGGGAGATGGGATTGGGATTAGGATGGGGTGGAGGAGGCCTTTTCATAGCCCATGAACTGAAAATGATTAACTCAATCCTCTGCCTGTGGTAAAACCAACAAATAAACAACAATAACAATAGAGGGTGAGGGGAAGGAAGGAAAAAGGAAAAACATGTTTATAAATAGTTTTAATGAGGGAAAATACTTATGCCATAATGACGAATGAAAGGAAACAGAATAATACAATAGTAGGAACATTACAAGTGCAACTATGTAAAACAATGTATGTAAATGGACAAAAGTATGACAGATAGCTATAGGCAGTGTAGTGTAAAATCTTGACCACCAAGGTACTTAATCTCTCTGTAGCTTAGCTTCCTCATGTAAAGTGGAAATAATCATAATAATACCCACCTCCAAAAGTTCTTATGAGAATTAAATGTGTTAATTTATGCCTGATATCTAGTAAACCTTATGTAAGTGTTACTTGGTATTATTATTTTCCTAATTTTTTATACTGTAGACTCTGGACTCAGAGTCTGTCCAACCAACTGGGCCCCACTCCCCGTTAATGACATGACTTTCACAGTTACCCAATTAGAGCCTCAGTTTTCTCACCTATTGTGAGGATTAGAAAGGATAATGTACTCAGCACATAGTAAGCACTCAATAAATGTTAATGGATTATATTATCAGAATATTATTATTACATTGTCATAGTTTTAAAAGTAGTACAAAAAGGAATAGAAGGCACAAAATACATTTTTCATAGTCTTCCTAGTGTATAAATTCTTCCATTTTCATTAAATTTCATTTTTGGGTATAGTCTTCCCAGACCTTCCTCTCTAGATGGGCCCCCAGATTATATACTTGCATGGCACTTTGAACATCTCCTTCATAGGAGTAATTAATTAATGAGGTAGGTAAGCAGTCTCTGGTTCATGTCTGTCATCCTCAGTAGACTCTCAGCTCCATGATGGCAAGGATGGTATCTGTTTATGCACAATATCTAGCACAGGGCCTGGCACCGTGTTGACTAACAAGAATTTATTGAATGAATGAACAAGTAATGAAATAAGCAAAAGCATTTAACATGTATATTATGAAATAGCATAGTCATGAGATTAAAGGCAAGTATCATTTCCTCCACCTCTCTAGGAAGTGAGGAATTGCCCATCTTGGAAACTAGGAAGTGCTTATATTGTAAACTAGAAAGGTAGTCAACATTTAGATTCTGGGGAGCTATTTTTGGCAGCTCTTCCTTATTAGAATCACACTGCCTGAACCTGTCCCCAGGAATCCTTTCACTTAGAATAGAGCTCTGGAAACTCAGTACTTTTGCAGAATCTCTTATTCAGTAAAGGAAAAGTACTTAGTCTTTCTAGATTATCTTTCCCCAGTGTACATTAGCCCTTACTCACAGACTCATAAAAGGGTTGGGACCTTAAAATTCTCTTTTATTTCACAGATGAGAAAATGGGCCCAGAAAAGTAGATTGACTTTCCTAAGCCTAACACTTGTTAATAATAGAGCTGGTGCAAACAGAAATGGGATCATTCTTACAGTTCTCTCTCTCTCAATATAATATAATATAATGTAATATAATATAATATAGTGTAATATAATATATATATATCCAATAATGTAATAGTATCATTCACTAAAAATTACGTTTACGGGGCTGGCCCTGTGGCCTAGTGGTTAAGTTCAGCATGCACTTCAGCGGCCTAGGTTTGGTTCCTGGGTGCTGACTTATACCACTCATCGGTGGCCATGCTATGGCAGCAACCTACATACAAAATAGAAGACTGGCACAGATGTTAGCTCAGGGTGAACCTTCCTCAAGCAAAAAGAGGAAGATTGGCAACAGATGTTAGCTCAGGGCAAATCTTCCTCAGCAAAAAGAAAAAAATTATGTTTATGAAAGTTTTTTTATTACATTAGGAAAAATGCTCTTGATATGTTAAGTGACAGAAGCAGACCAGAATTGTACATATAATATGTATTCAATTATAGAATACAGAAATATATGAGGGCATACATATGTGTGTGTATTTCTCAGTAATCTATGTAGAAAATAAAAAAGCGTGTCAAAATATTAACAGTGTTTATCTCTGGTTGGTGGGGATATAGTTTATTTTTATTTATGCTTTTCTGCAATAAATTTTATTTTCAATGAGCATGTAATACTTTATAATAAGAACTTTAGGTTTTTTAATTCCTGATCTAACGTTTTTGAAAAGTTTTATTTTGGTACTGGTCAGCACTGTGGTGTGAGGGAGCATCAACCTAGAATCCAAATCAGTTGCACCAGTCATTTAACCTGATCTATAAAATGAGTATAATTAAATCTACTTCACAGGGCTATTGTGCACGTGAAATAATAAATATGAAATTCCTTTGTAACTCTAAAGCTTGATAAAGGTGTTAGGTGGTATTATGTGGATGATAAAGGCCCGTGATCTAAAAGAGGTGGGAGAGCCCTTAGGATAACAGCTTTGTGCTGAGGAGCTTATGTTGGCAGAGGAGAGAGATCTAAGTGTCAGGAGAAAAGTGAGAGATTTTTTGCCAACACTTACCAGAAACAATCACATGCCTTACCCCACTTCTCCCCTGTATATCCCCTGTACTTCCAATAAATGCCTCAATGTGCCCTCTTCAGATGAAATCTTCTGTCTGTCTCTTAAGCAGCCTAGGCAAGAGGCAGCTTGTAGTGGACAGGATCTAGTGTATTTTAAGGCGATGGCAGGTTTGTTTCCCATTGCCTGCAGAGTGTGAAAGGCAACCTATGTAGGAATGTGACCAGCAGCCTACTAAGGCCTTTCTAATCCCGAACCAGAAAGAGGCTCTTTCCACTCCGGATGATAAAAGTTTGTTGTGAAAAGAAGGTAACTTTTAGCTGGACCATTTGTATTGAGCTTTATTCTTTGCAGGGCTTTCTTTATCTTTGGGGTCTCACAAATTCTATGGAAAATAAGATTTCACACACAGCAATTATTTTTAAATTAGAAGTGCCAAAGTAGTATGCCAAATTATTGTTACTTTTATATTTTAAAAAGTAATACAGACCTATGGTAAATTTACCCAAGAGAAATGAAAACGTACGTTCACACAAAATCCTGCACATGAATGTTTATAGCTGCTTTATTCATAATTGCCAAAAACTGGAAATAACTCAAATGTTCTTTAACCAGTAAACAGATAATCAAACTGTGATACAGCCCATATAATGGAATATTATCCAGCCATAAAAAGGAATGAACTATTGATAAACACTACGACATGGATGACTCTCAAATGCATTACACTAACAAGGTAAGGGAAGCCAGATACAAAAGGCTACACATTGTATTATTCCATTTACATGACATTCTGGAAAAGGAAGACTATAGCGGAGAACAAATTAGTAGTTGCCGGAGGATGAGGTGGGGGGAGGGGTTGACCACAGAGACAGTAAGAGGGAATATTGGGGGGTAATGGCACTATTCTTGATTGTGATGGTTACATGAATATGCATTTGTCAAAACTCATAGAACAGCACACCAAAAAGTGAATTTTACTATAAAAATTTTCAATAAATGCATGAAAGTAAAAATAAGGTAATACAGACCCACGGTAAATTCAAACAATGCAAGGAATTCAATCAAAAGTTTCCCTGCTAGATCTTTGTAATGATAGAATAATTCTGTATTTTGATTGCAGTGATGGTTACATAAATCTACACGTGTGATAAAATGACATAGAACCATACTCACACATCATACCAATTTCAATTTCCTGCAATTTATATTCTACTCTAGTTACGATGTACCCATTGGGGGAAACTGGGTGGGTGACGGGTACTGGGATCTCTGTATTATCTTTGTAACTTCTTGTTCATCTCTCTGTCCCTATATTTTAAAGTATCTTTCAACCAAACTTCCAGACTCTAGTCGTGCTCGGGAGGGGAACACTATTACAAATTTCTTGTGTATCCTCTGTATGTTAAATCTAATATTTTATATATGTATACATGTACATATAAATTTATACATGAATACTTTTAGCACAAATAGTAGCATATTATATACATCCTTCTGCACCTTGTTATTTTTCAACTATTACTTTGGAGATTTTTCCATATCACAAACACATGGATACACTCATTCTTTTTTTCTGGCTGCATAGTATTCCATTGCACAATGGTATTACATTCGAATCTTAACAAGGAATTGAATTTAAGTAATTTGGAAATTTTTGAAACATGAAAGGTCAGTTGGAGTTGAGACCAAACATAAAGTTTTCACAGATTCAAGACTTGCCTCCAGAATACCCTTTGACCAGAAGGGGGAACGCAAAAGGCAGGACGAGAGGCGAAATGCTGGGAAATTGCCTCGGCCAATGGGGAAGCGGTGGGCCGGCAGGGAATTACCGCCGGGTAGGAGTCTGCGGAGGGGCGCTCTACTGCTGGAGTGGAGGCCGTGCTCCAAACCAAGCTTTCTCAGCTGCATCTCAGATACACCGAAGTGTGTTAGGGTTATGCAGTGATGCGTGAAGAGCTCCAGCCTCCAGCGGGGACCACCTGCCCAAGCAGGGTCTGAACCTTCACCGCCTCCAGCCCACGCGCGCAGGGGGCGTACACGTGGTGACCTGCCCCAGGCCAGTTCCCGGCCCTGGCTCCTCCTCCCCCCAGCTCTTGCTCCGCTGTCTGCAGTATCACGTGCAGCCGCGCCGGGTGCAGGATGGCGGCGGCGGCGGCGGCGGCGGCGGCAGCCGCGGTGGGTGTCAGGCTCCGGCACTGCTGCAGCCGAGGCGCTGTGCTCCTGCTCTTCTTCTCCCTGTCTCCTCGGCCCCCAGCCGCCGCCGCTTGGCTGCTGGGCCTTCGGCCCGAGGACACCGCTGGAGGCCGCGTGTCCCTGGAGGGGGGCACCCTGCGCGCGGCCGAAGGCACCAGCTTTCTCCTGCGCGTCTATTTCCAGCCCGGGCCCGCGGCGCCTGCTCCTCCGGTGCCCGCACCCACCCTTTCCCCGGGGGAGAACGGCACCGGCGACTGGGCTCCGCGGCTCGTGTTTATCGAGGAGCCCCCGGGCGGGAGTGGCCTGCTGCCCAGCGCTGTCCCCACGCGCTCCCCGGGGCCGCAGCGCTGCCGCGAGCAGAGCGACTGGGCGTCGGACGTGGAGGTCCTGGGGCCCCTGCGCCCCGGAGGCGTAGCAGGCTCTGCTCTAGTCCAGGTGCGGGTGCGGGAGCTGCGCAAGGGCGAGGCAGAGCGGGGCGGCGCGGACGGTGGCGGGAAGCTCTTCTCGCTGTGCGCCTGGGACGGGCGCACCTGGCACCACCACGGCGCCGCCGGCGGCTTCCTGCTGCGCGTCCGCCCGCGGCTGTATGGCCCGGGCGGGGACCTGCTGCCCCCCGCGTGGCTGCGGGCGCTCGGGGCGCTCCTGCTGCTGGCCCTGTCCGCACTGTTCAGCGGCCTGCGCCTGAGCCTGCTCTCGCTAGACCCGGTGGAGTTACGGGTGCTGCGGAACAGCGGCTCAGCCGCCGAGCAGGAGCAGGCGCGCCGCGTGCAGGCCGTGCGCGGCAGGGGGACCCATCTGCTTTGCACCTTGCTCCTGGGCCAAGCCGGAGCCAACGCGGCCCTGGCCGGCTGGCTGTATGCCTCGTTGCCGCCGGGCGTCGGGGGTCCGGAGGAAGACTACGGTGAGGCGGGGATTCACTTCCCGTGGCTGCCGGCGCTCGTGTGCACCGGCGCCGTGTTCCTGGGCGCCGAGATCTGCCCCTACTCGGTGTGCTCGCGGCACGGGCTGGCCATTGCCTCGCACAGCGTGTGCCTGACCCGGCTCCTGATGGCGGCCGCCTTCCCTGTGTGCTACCCACTGAGCCGCCTGCTGGACTGGGCGCTGCGCCAGGAAATAAGCACCTTCTACACGCGGGAGAAGCTGCTTGAGACGCTGCGGGCCGCGGACCCCTACAGCGACCTGGTGAAGGAAGAGCTCAACATCATCCAAGGCGCCCTGGAGCTTCGCACCAAGGTGGTGGAGGAGGTGCTGACCCCTCTCGGGGACTGCTTCATGCTGCGCTCCGACGCCGTGCTCGACTTCGCCACCGTCTCCGAGATCCTGCGCAGCGGCTACACTCGCATCCCCGTGTACGAGGGCGACCAGCGGCACAACATTGTGGACATTCTGTTTGTCAAGGACTTGGCCTTCGTGGACCCTGACGACTGCACCCCGCTTCTCACCGTCACCCGCTTCTACAACCGGCCCCTGCACTGCGTCTTCAATGATACCAGGCTGGATACGGTGCTGGAGGAGTTTAAGAAGGGTGAGCAGTGGTCTATCTCCTCCCTCAACTCCTACCCCCTTCAAAAGTATTGCCCTTTCATAAACATGTGAGGCTTCAGTACCCAAAGCAACTTCTCTGCTACGGTACCAAAAACTCAAGGAAGGCCCATCTCATGGCTCCCTGGCTCTTTTTATTTCTCTTCTCCCTACCTTTTTTGCAGCTGCCTGAGCCCCTGGCCTCTTCTCCTTTACTTGGCTCACAAGATGTGTGCCTCACTCCCGGTTCCTCATTCATTCTATTCCAGTATTTTTTCAGGGCCTAACAGTTGCCGGGTATTGTGCAGGTTGAACTCAGGGGATAGCCCTTGGATGGGATTGCATGGCTCCCTATTACAGGAAGAACCTCTGCAGGTTCCCATAACAAGCAGCCTTTGCTTTAAACTCCTCCCTGGGTGGGAAACTCACCATTTCCAGGGCAAACTGACTCCATTGCTGGACAGCTCCAGCTGCTGACAATGTCTTTCTTACATGAAGCAGAAATTTACCTCTCCAGAATGTCTCTCTGGGTCCTAGTTCTGGCCTTTGGATCACATAGATTCAGCCCCAGACACTTTAGGCATTCTCCCCTCATACTGAGCTTTCCATCAGCTATTCATTACACCAAGTACCCAGGTTGGAGATTAAAAGTTGAGTAGGACGGTGAGGTCCTTGTACTTCTGGGAACTGTGGTCCCACGAGGTAGGGTAGATCTGGACCTGAGGAAATATTCTGGTATAGGGACCCATTAGAAAACTTGCATATCCAAATTAATGGGGTTTCCTTCAAAGCAGTCACCATCCCCCCCCTTGATGTCATGCCCATAACACATTTACTACATGTCTAGAGTTTCCCTTTAGAAACTGGCTTCTGGGGTTGAGTACAATTCACTCCAGAAAAATTGGCCTGGATATTTTAGAGTTGATTACATGTGGCATTACACATGTGACTGATCACCCTAGTTAGCCAGAGCTGACACCAGAGGACCTTTGGTTGTTTTTGAAAATCAGATCTACCTTCAAGAGTCACCACTGAGAGCATTCAGAAGACTAACTCACAGACCCTGAAAGCAATTCCAGAAATGATTTGAGAACAGTAGAACTTTCCAGAATGACTATTTTGAAGGAGGTATTCATCTGTATATATGAGATGGCATGTTTATTAAAAACAAAACAAAACAAACATCAATCCCCTGACTTTAGAATCTGGCTTCAAATGTAGCTTCCCTGTGGCTAGCAAGAATCTCATTTGATTGTGTATTTTTGATACACTTTCTTGTCAAAAATTCAATCTCATTACCTTATCAGACCAGGTACTCTTTGTATATAAAGACTTTGCATGCAGAGAGAAATCTGGGGTCTTCCTCTGCCACAGTATTTTTAGACAAGTGAAATTGTGTTAAACATCAAAATGTAGCCGGAGAAGGGGAAAAAAAGTTGAAAAGCTACTTTCAGTCTCAGATTTGGGGAAAGAACAGCCTTAGATTTTGTGTTGGTATCATAAGGGGAGGGAAATTGCGTATATTGCAGCTGTTTTAGCCCAGTCTGAGCTACTGTCTCACCCTCTTGTGTCTGTCTCCTCCAAGTCCTTGCATGACTCATTCCCAAAGCACTCAGGTTCATCCATCCACTCTTAGAATTATTCTTACATTTTGTGTACCCTGCAGAAGGGAGCCTTGGATCTGGGCTTAAAAACTGTAAAAATCTATATTAGTTTGCTAGGGTTGCTGTAACAAAATACCACAAACTGGGTGGCTTAAACAACAGAAAGTTATTTTCTCACAGTTCTGGAAGCTGAAAGTCCAAGTTCAAGGTGTCAGCAGGTTTGGTTTCTTCTGAGCCTCTCTCCTTGGCTTGCACATGGCTGCCTTCTCACTGTGTCCTTACACGGTTGCCCCTCTGTCTGTGTGTGCTCATCCTTGGCGTCTCTCTATGTGTTCTAATCTCTTCTTATAAGGACTCCAGTCAAATTGGATTAAGGCCCACTCTATCAGCCTTGTTTTACCTTAACCACCTCTTCCATGTGATAGGTAAGATAGAGTGCAGTTAAGATAGAATCTCATTGGGGCCAGCCCAATGGCATAAGCAGTTAAGTGCAGGCGCCCCGCTTTGGCGGCCCAGGGTTTGCAGGTTCGGATCCCGGGCACATACCGACTCACCGCTTGTCAAGCCATGCTCTGGTGGCGTCCCATATAAAGTGGAGGAAGATGGGCATGGATGTTAGCTCAGGGCCAGTCTTCCTCAGCAAAAAAGAGGAGGATTGGCATCAGATGTTAGCTCAGGGCCGATCTTCCTCACACACACACACACACACAAAAAGATAGAACCTCATTATCATGTGCTGCCAGAAGACGTTTTCAATGAAACTCCTGTGAACTCATTTATCCATTCATTTAGTGTGTATTGAGCATCTATATAGTGTTAGGCAACAGGGTGGACAATAAGACTGCCCTCAGAAAAGAACAGTCTACAAGGGCATGCAGTGATAGACTACGGGCAGTCTTCAGAAGCAGGAGTTGTGTCTTACTAACCTTTTTATCCCCACCACCTTGCATGTAGTAGGCTGCTAAAAAAAGTCTGTATTGATCTGAAATGAGTCCTGTTGCAGAATTTCTAAATCTGGTGTGAAAAAGACTTGTTAGTGTTCTATTTAGTAGTTAGTTTGTAATTAGGTAGATCACTAAAGAGAAGAAGGCCATTACAGTGAATACCACACCAAGGAAGAAATTTCTATGTCCCTTCAGAGCCTTGCTCCTTCCTCAAAGTGTAGACCGTAAACCAGCAGCATGGGCCTCACCTGGGTGCTTTTCAGAAATACAGAATTTCATGCCTCACTCTAAATCCACTGAATGAAAATCTGCATTTTAACAAGCCCCCACTTGACTTGTGTGTATATTAAAGTTTGAGAAGCATTGCCTTCAGAGAACCCTTATCAACACTGATTGGTAGATTTACTTAGAATAAATACAAGGAATAATTATCAAGGTAGGTGTTCTCTGGGTCCAAGCCATATAATCCAGTAGTCATTTTCTGTAAGAGTTATGTTTGTACTATAGGTTAGGAGAGGAAAACCAAGTTGAATTACTTTTCTTTGCCTTTAAAAATAACTTTTTAAGCAAGTTGTAACAGCCCTTCCATTTGCCTCACTTCCTTGCATCTCAAGTAACTTAAGCACCTAAACAAAGCCCTTAGGAGGTAGGAGAGGAAAATAATATTAATAGGAACAACAGTTGCCATTAATTGAGCAATAGCTCTGCCAGGCACCACACCAAGCCCTTTACATTCTCAGAACAACCCTCCTGGGTAGGTATTATCAAATCCATTTTACAGATGAAGATACTGAAGCTCAAATCAATAACATGATTTGCTCAACTTCTCATAGCTGACAGAATTGTGATTTGAACTAGTCCGTAGGAGCCCAAAGCCTGTTCTTTTTCCCACTACACCAGTCTTGTTCCATCCTCTATCCCAAAACTCCTGCCACCCACAGGATTCAAAGCTGGCCTTTTGCCTCTGACTTGCTGCCCATGGCTGATTCACCTCTTGTTTCTGCAGGTTAGAAATGTAGCTGTTATAGTTACAATACTTGCTAACATACATATTGCATTTTACAAAACATTTCTACCTGCCCTCTCTTATCTGATCCTTAAAGCAACTCTGCAGGTACAGGTGAGGACGCTAAGGCCCAGAAGGATAACTTGGCCTGCCTAAGGTCAGCACTCAGCTAGTATATTCCAAGGTCCAGATTCAAATCCAGATCGTGTAACTCCAAAGCTCTTCTCCATATGGGATTTTCTCTATATATTTCTTATGGGTTCCAGGTCTTTAGAAGTGGGGAAAAGGAAAATGGTTTTTCTTTCCAGCCAGCATGCTAGCTTTATAAAAGGGAACAGTATTTCTCCCCACTGGACTGTGAGTTCCTTGAGAGCGGAGAATGAATCTTATTTACGTTGTATTCTCAGGGCAAGCACAGGGGCCACCATGGCTAGGGGATGAATAAACATTTGTTGAATAAATGGTCTTAAATAGCTAACTTCTACTATATTTCTATGTTTCAGTGAGGTGAACCCTAACTCCATTCCACTGACCATAACCAACTCTCCTCTTACTCTTCCTGGGTTCTCTACCCCAGTTAGTGGCACTACTGCCCCTCCAGTCTCCCAGGCTAGAAACCTCTCCTTCACTCCCCACCCTCATCCTACTAATCACTGTCTTAGGCTGCTCAGGCTGCCATAGCAAAATACCATAGACTGAGTGGTTTAAACAGAAATTTATTTTCTCACAATTCAGGAGGCTAGAAGTCCAAGATCAAGGTTCCAGCCAATTTGGTTTCTGGTGAGAGCTCCCTTCTTGGCTTGTAGACGGCCACCTTCTCACTATGTCCTCACATGGCCTTTCCTCGGGGCACACGCAAAGAGAGAGAGAGAGAGCAGGAGTGCTTGTCTCTCCTCTTCTTCTTATAAAGACACCAATCCTGTTGGATTAGGGCCCCACCCTTTGGATCTCATTTAACCTTAATTACTTTCTTAGAAGCCCCACTGGGGGTTAGGACTTCAACATATGAGTTTGGAGTGGGGAAGGGACACAAACATTCAGTCCATAACAATCACCAAAGTCTACCAAATATTTGGAACAAAGTCTGCAAAAAATTTGCCAATGTTGCATCCAATGTATAGATAGTTCTTGTACCTGTACATAATTTATCCCACTATTTCTTCCACTTAGGCTATTCATTGATTTTGTTCAGCAAATAGTTACTATGTACCTGTTGTGTAGGCACAGTGGAGAACACCACCAATAAGGTTCCTGTCTGCATGGAGCTTTCATTCTAATGCAAGATACAGAAATTAAACAAATGGGATAGTGATTAAGAGCATAAGCTTTGGTGCCAGACTGCCTGGGTTGCATCCTGGCCTTGGGCAAGTACTTAACTGTTTGTTTCATTAGCTATAAAATAAAGATAATAAGAGTATTTACTCGTAGGGTTGCTTGAAATGTTAAGACA